CCGAAAGGGGGAGGGGGAGGGGGTTGAGAGGAGAAGAGAGGACAGGGGAACAAGGCAGGAGGGGAAAGAAGGGCTGCGGGGGGGGGGGAAGACGAACCACGAACGAGTGAAGCAGCCCTGCTGCCAGGGCTGCGGGTGCATGCCGGGGGCCGGGGGGGCGTTGAGAGGAGGAGAGAGGACAGGGGGGGGCCCCCGTCGTTTCCCGGGGAGTACGGGGCGGGGGGGAAGCTTTCATGTAAACACGCGACATACGGAGGCCGGGGACGAGTGACGAGTTTGACAACCCTGCCAATACCACACCTGCGCCGGGCCCGTGTGTATGCCGATGGAGATGCAGAGCTTGAGCTTCTTGCTGCCCAGGGCGGTGGTGTCTGCTGCCGCCAGCAGCGACCGAGCCAGACCCAGCGCATGGAGCACCTGGTCACCCACATTGTCAAGACCTGTCCAGGGAGGGAAGGGGGGAGGGAGGGAGGGAAGGGGGGAGAACGAACCACGAGCGAGTGAAGCTGCTGCTGCTGCCAAGGAAAGAGTGCCGCATCCGGAGGGAGGGGGAAGCGGAGGGGGACACGGGGTGACGTATCACACACACATACATACATACATACATACATACATACATACATACATACATACATACATACATACATACATACATACATACATACATACATACATACACACACGACTTCTAAAGGTATAAATGCCACACACACAACACGGTATTCATACGGAAGTAATTCGTAATAAGGCCACACACACACTCTCTACCACACCGCCACATCCACCCCCCCCCCAAAATCAGCACCCACCGCTGACAATGGTCATCTGCTCGTCCAGTCCCTCCAGCAGGTAGCACCCGTGCTGTTCCAGCAGCGTGTCCAGGTCGTGGAACAGCGCCGCCAGGGCCACCAGCAGCTCGCTGGCGGGCACGTTGGCCAGGAGGGTGGCGAGGTTGGGGATACCCACTTGGAGCAGTGTGAGCTGGTCGAACATCTGTAGGAAGCGGGGGGCCCAGGGGGGACAGGGGGGACAGGGGGGAGAAGGGTGTTTTAGAAGGGCATTGAAGGAGATGCAACGCTGGGCGATGGATGGGTATTCCGACAGCGTGTTGTTGCAGATGGGAGCCGGTCCCCACCACCACCACCTAAGAGGGGTTGGCGGGGAAGACAAACCCCGTACGAGTAAAGGTGATGCCGAACTAACTAACCAGTGGCGACTTGTAGAGAAGGGGATGAGATGAACGGGGGGGAGGGAAGGCGGGAGGAAAGGAGAAGCAACTGGAGACATACACACGCACACGCACACGCACACACACACGAATAAAAACACACCCTCCTCCCCTTTCCCCCGCTTCCCCCGGCACCTGCATAGTCGTGGAAGTTGTCCCCGACTCAATGCCCCGGGCTATGCGGGCGGGCAGGGAGGTGAACCGTGCGGGGCCGGTGAGGAAGGGCGCCAGGTCGAGCGCCCCGCCCGTGCCCCCCTTCAGCAGCAGCCGACCCGGCAGCACCTCCCCGGGCAGCGCCCCAGCCATCTCCCCGGCCTGGTACACCGTGTCGCGGAAACGCAGGTGCGCCGCGATGCGAGCCAGAATCTCCTGAGGAGGGGTGTGGTGGCGGGTGTGGTGGCGGGTGTGGTGGCGGGTTTGGAGGGAAGGGGGATTAAGTGCACCAGGCGAACGCGTGGGGCTGCGAAAGGGGTGGAGAGAGAGAGAGAGGGGGGGGGTGTATGCAAGAAAAGCGGATGAGTAGAGGCGGAGGGGAGGAGGGGGAAATGGGGGAAAAGACGAACCGCGAGCGAGTGAAAAGCTGCTGCCAAAGAAAGACTGATGCAGCCGATGTGCAGGACGGTAGGAGAACTAACCAGTCGGCGGGTGTGAATAAGCAGTCCTCGCGGTGATCATCTAGTCATTACGATTGGGAAAAAAACTACCTACCTAGCCGCCAAGACTAAAACAAGAGCGGAAGAAGAGCAGTAGAGCCAAGCCGTGAAATGGTAAAGGTAGGTGTAAAGGCGGCGGAAACGTAAGAAAAGAAATGGGGGCGGGAGGATGCGCGTGTAGGTGGTGTGCATCCCTAATACACAGAGAGGACAACGGGATGCACATACATACAGACATACACACACATACATACATTATACAGACATACACACACATATACATACATACATACATCATACATACATACATACACACACGCACCTGTCGTCCAAACGGTTTAACCACATAGTCGTTGGATCCCGCCGCCAGCCCCTCCACAATGTGTTCCTCCTTCGACTTGGCCGATATCATGATGACGGGAATGCAGCTGAGGGGGTACATCTCCCGGAGCTTGCGGCACACCTCGTACCCGCTCATGCCGGGCATCATCACGTCCAACAAAATGACATCCGGAAGCCGTTCCTCGCTCTTCAGCACCTGGAGCGCCTCCTGACCGTCCATGGCCTTAGGTGGCACCGGGAGTCAAGGGGGGAAGAGGGGGGAAGAGGGGGGGGAATCAGGGGGAGGGAAATTGGGGGTGGGGGGAAAGACGAACCACACACGATTGAAGCTGCTGCCAGGGCAAGAGAGTAGCAAACGTAAAAACTGACCGAAAGGCGTCCGAAAGGGAATCAGGGGCAGGGGAATTGGGGGGGGGGACTCAGGGGGGGGGGGTCAAGGGGGAAGACAAACCACGAACGAGTGAAGCTGATGGGGGAGGGGGGAAGGGTTTGGAAGGGGTTTGGCGGTTTCGGAGGGGAGAAACTCAAAAGGCAAATTTATCCCAGATACGGCCAACACAAGTGCCAGCAAGTCAAGAGATACCCCCTCCCCCCCCCCCACCCCAGTTCCACCCCCCACCCCACCCCACCCCCCCACACACACACCGCCTAACCCACCTGCAGTATCTCGTACCCCACCGGAGCGAGAAGGTTCTGGATGACCAGCTGGTTGACCGGGTCGTCATCCACCGACAGCACCCGCACCTTGTCGCCCTTCTCGCGGAACGAGCTGCGCCGCTTCAGGGCGCCCTGCGCGCGCGTGTGTGTGTTATGTGGGGGGTTAGGCAGGGGTTCAGGGGGAATTACAAAGGTAAACCTGCCGACAAAACGCACATGCACAGACATACAGACATACACACAC